TCTTTCCGTCTTGCCGTACCTTGCGATGCACATTTATCAGGATCCACTTTCCTCCCTCCTTTCTTACCTTTATTTCCTCTCCCTTCTCCAATCCCTCCCTCTCTCTAAGGTCATCCACCCAGCTCACGTGCCAGGGGTTTCAGGATAGCCTTCATCTGTGTTGCGTGGTCAGTGCGAACTTGTTGTCTCGGCCTGCGGTTGCGACGTGAGCAAACACTAGAGACAGGCCTGGAGACAGCCTCATGCACTCCCTCGTCTGCATCGCCCTTTTGGACATGAGACACTACACAGAGAGAGAGAGAGAGCGAGAGAGGTCAGTTGAGTATTGTGTCTGAGGCATAAGGGACTTACCAAGTAAGCTGTGGACGAGGGTTGAGTGATCAACCAAGCTCACAGACTGCCATTCCTACACCTCTGACCTGTTGTAAAGCCTCAGGAGATAATTCAGGACTGCAATGTATGAGGACTAACATTAAACCTGCAGTGTGACGTCTACCGATCGTAGTATGGTGGCCGGAGGTACTGTATCTAGGTTCTACCTCAGTTCTTTCCGGAGCCACCTGTGCTTCCGTGTACGTAATAATATACTGTATATTGCACTGAGTATATATATATATGAGGGGGCATGGGAAAGGGACCTATATGGCTGAATGTGAAAATTAGTTTTGAGGAAAACCACAAAACTTAATTTTCACATCCAGCAATATAGGTCCCTTTTTCCATGCCCCCTCATATAATATATATACTGCTATACATCCTGACTGACCGAGTAGTAGTTCATATTTCTCTTATTGTCTAGTCTGACAAGATTAACATCAGCTTAAAAAATGATTATGTTTGTATTATAGGGAGCGACGGGTGGAAGGAATGCCTTTATCAAGCAGTACTTTGGTAAGACATTTTTACTCCAGTTTTACCCGTGATCTGATTGGTCGGTTTACGTTGCCGTTGGTAACAGGGGTGGAGACAAAGTCGACGTACAAATGCGAGGAGTGTCCAGACGAACCGGTCACCACGGAGACGGAAACTAGCTACCAAGTGTCGTGTTTTATTGCTCAGGATGTGAAGTACATGTACACAGCTATGAGGAAGGTTAGTAATGGGAATGATGTATATTGGAACCTCCGAACAAGGGACACTATGGCGGCAGAGATTTTGTCCCTTGTAGAGAGGTCGTAGGTCAAATAATGGGAATGATGTAAGTTTTAGCATGGGGGTTGAAACAAGTGTCCTTTGTAGAGAGGTCGCCCCTATCTCAGAGGGTCCCTTATCGGAGGTTCCACAAAAGAGCGAAATAGAATAAGAATAAGGACAGCAGGAAAGTGCCCCTCCCTCCCAGGGAATGGAGGGGACGGTGAAGAAGAAGTCTGCAGTTCTGGGAAGAGACGCGGACTTCAAGAAGACGTCGCCGCTGAGTCGTCTCCCGGGATACCTGACAGTCCAGTTTGTCCGGTTCTCGGTGGGCGTGGCCCCCGACAGTGGGGAAACGGTTGCTAGGAAGATCCTGAAGGTACACAATATGTTGGTTTACACATTATTCCTTTGTCTAGTGACATGAGAGGATGCAACGTGCAAATTTGAACAAATGCAATATAGATATTTTATGTGCCTGTTCAGATGATCATTAATAATTGAAGGGGTCAGAGTCAGAGTGAGCCAACCCTCCAATATACAACTCTTGCCGGTTTTCCTTCAAGTATGTTCTAAATGTCCTTATAGAACAAAAACCGACAAGAGTTGTATATTGGAGAGTTGGCTCACTCTGACTCTGACCCCTTCAATTGTGTTCCTATTCAGATGAGTGACAATTGACTGGCTAATGGTCGTGTTCATCTCTCTCTCTCTCCTCACAGGACGTCAAGTACACGATGAAGCTGGACATGTATGAATTCTGCACCACTGAACTGCAGCAGAAACTTAGCCCCATGAGGACCAAGTTCAAGGAACAAGAAGAGAAAAAGATGGTAATATTTTCTTTTCTGTTGGAAAGTAGCCTCCAACAATACCTACGTCATTTAGTCGAAGCCATTTCTTTCATGGGGCAGGGAGCAAATTTTGCCTCCTCATAGGAAATATGGTTCTCCTTGTGTTGTATCCACTCTTCACTGGTACTCTGTGTTTATTCTCTCACTTCCCTCCCCCTCCTTCATTTCTCTCTCCCTCCCTCCTTCCTTCCCTCCCTCCTTTCTCCCTCCCTCAGGCTCAGAAAGCCAAGCTGATAGCCGAGGGCAAGCTGCTGGGACCGAAACTGGCAGGAGCGGCAGCTATAGCCAAGAAAGATGAGAATGTTGAATATGAACCTTTTCAGTTTGAAGATGGTGCGTATGAGATGGCAGGAGAGGAGGAAGAGAGGGGGTGTTTGTCCATGCACAGCGAAAGAAAGATGATGTGTTTTTAGCGAAAACAATGTTCATAAGTAGTGTTAAGTGTTCGTTTAATGTACTCGTGCTTTATGTAATGCTGCTACCCACCACTCTATCAGCAGCTCAGCAGGCTTGACTCTCAAACAACTCCGCTATGGCATTGCAAAACCCTGCAAACCCCTAATGCATGTGCAAGCAATCAGGAAACAATGCAGGCCTGGATTGGAAGCTTTACAAGTGTATACACGGAATGTACACCAAACACCAGTATTGTGTTTCGCTCTGTTAATATTCCATTTCTCCCGTGTCTCTAGAATTGGGCTGTGCAAACTCCAGCTACAACTGCTGTGTCTGAAATTTTGAAATGGGACTCCTCTCTCTCTCTTCTCTCTCTCTTCCCTCTCTCTATCTCTCTGATCTCGATCTCTCTCTTCTCTCCCTCTCTCTCTCTTCTCTCTCTCTCTTTCTCTCTCTCTCTCTCCTCTCTCTCTCCCCGACAGATGTAGGCAGTAATAACAGTGGATATTACGAGCTAGCGGCCGTCCTGACGCACAAGGGAAGATCTTCATCATCTGGTCCTACGTCGTGGGTGGCCCTCAAGAACGGTGAATCACGTGAACATGACTATCACATGACTATTGACTATATTCACTCTCCATATTCCTTGTTTGTACATTTTGCTTTAGAGTGACTTATGATTTATACTATTTTAAAGCCATATGACGTAATAATGATTTTAATGCCCCTGTAGGTGAGTGGGCGAAGCTGGACGAGACAAGGTTACTTAGGACGGAGGACCAGTACTGAAGCTGTCTGGAGTGGTGCATTGGCACGTGGCGTACATCTGTTGTACGCTCCCGAGGTTGGAGAAGATGAGAGAAAGGAGGAGGAGGAGGAGGAGAAAGAGGGGTGAAAATATGCCAGGCATATAGATAATGGTTGAAAACTCTCCTCTCTCTCTCTCTTCGCCTCTTAATCTCTCTTCTCTCTCTCTCTCTCCTCTCTCTCTCTCTCTTCCGACAGATGTAGGCAGTTAATTTGCAAAAGGTTTTGCGACTTTCCTGTTCGAGATAATACATTATAATTCTGAGCGAGGAGAGAGAGAGAGAGAATATTCTTCATTTTTCTCCCTGACAGACCCCACCCACTGCAGAGGAGACTTCTGATGTTCCAATGGAGACTGCTGACTCAGCAGACCCTCCTCCTCCTCCGCCGACCAATTAACAATGACATCATCATGACATCATTCCATCTCTCTTGATTAGACCAGTGTGTCAGCTTCACACACATCGTGACTATTGTATAATGACTATTGTGATGATGGTGTGTGTATTATAACAACACAACCATAATTATGCAATATTGTTGGCCGGTATCACTAAGTACAGTAGTACTTAGTATATTATAGGGATGGGCATGGTACCTAGCATCATAGATGTATGGAGTTATGATAGGGAGTTTTGTTCATCTTCTTCTTCTCTAATTTCCAGCAGATGTCAGGATATAGCATTAACACTTAACCAGCCACGGGCACATAAATGTGTCCAGAGCCTTCATAAGTCAATAAGAATTTATATGGGGGTTAAATACAATA